CTCTTCCTCTTCTGCCACATTATAGACTCAGTGCTGGTACTCGTCAAATTTTCCTATCCCGACGTTATCTTCCTGCCCTGCTATAAGACCGTGATGATGTTTCCCTATATCACAGGCTTGTGCATGCTGAGCGCCATCAGCACTGAGCGCTGCCTGTCTGTCCTGTGTCCCATCTGGTACCGCTACCGCCGCCCCAAACACACATCAGTTACCGTGTGTGCCCTGCTCTGGGCCTTATCCCTGCTGATCTGCATTCTGAACAAGTCTTATTGTGGAGTGTTGAACCCTGACTCTAAGACTGACGAGTGTCTGATAGCTAATTTCTGCACTGTTGCATGCCTGGCTGTTGTAGTTTTGATTCTCTCAGGCTCCAGCCTGGCCCTGCTGGTGAGATTCTTGTGTGGTCCCCGACAGATGCAGCTGACCAGACTCTATGTGACCATCCTGCTCACGGTGTTGGTCTTCCTCCTCTGTGGCCTGCCCTTGGGCATCTACTGGTTCATGTTAATCTGGACTCATGATAATTTTAGTAATAGTTTGCATTACGGTCTTTACCTGGCCTCAGTTGTCCTGTCCTCTGTGAACAGCTGTGCCAACCCCATCATTTACTTCTTTGTTGGTGCCTTCAGGCAGCAGCTGAAGAAGCAGACCCTGAAGCTGCTTCTGCAGAGGGCCCTGCAGGATGCTCCTGAGGAGGACCAAAGTGCAGACCGTGTTCCTCAGGGAACTCTGGAGATGTCTGTAAGCAGAGAAGAGTAGTGATGAGGAGCCTCTGCCTTGTCAATCATAAGTGTCCCTGATCATGGATTACCTCACCAGAATCCCCAACTACCTTTTGAGACTTACTGGAAAAGGGTGAAATAAGAAACAAAGACTAATTTAGTAATGCATAAAGAGGGCTTGGAAGGACAGAGACAGACAAAGACAAAGATACTCCACACAAGCCAATATTTATTGGGTGAATACAATGAGAGGAGGGGCTAGCAAAAGATTCAAGGTTGTTGGAAGATTCAGACATTGATGACTCAGTGGTAAAAGTTAATGCTGGGATGACTCAAGAAGTAAGAGATGATACCATGCTAAGAAGTAACTTGACTTGGGGTGCCTTGGATAGCCTATCCCTACAGACTTAGTGGGAAATCTCAAAAAAGTGATACCAAAAATCCCAAGCCTCTATTTATCCCTGGGAAAGAATGCAAAATTAGCCATTGTGAATTTGTGGTTCCCAGCATATTGCAGCATTTGAAACAGTATGCAGGATATGTAGCTATCACAGCCACAAATTTATTCTTGGGAATTTGTTGGAATTACTGTCATGTCACCAAGATGTGAGCCTCCTGTATTGCTTTTTTTTCTCTCCTGCATTGTTTGGGGTTTTTTTAATTTTGTTTTGGTTTTTGTCCCCATGTCATGGGTTTTGTAGCCTTGTGGATCTCAGTACTTGTAATATCAGGCTTATCTTAAGGGTCATCTTCAAGAATGCTTGCACAAAAAAAGGGGGGGCTGGTGAGATGGCTCAGTGGTCTTAAGCACCTACTTAGAACAAGCTTAGCAAAGCACAGGGACACCGGTTCAATCCCCCAGCATCACATGCCAGCCAGCCCTGCCCCCTGGTGGGCTGAGCTAGCCACACACACACACACACACACACACACACACACACACACACAAATAAATAAATAAATAAGATCAGGGCTAATCAATCTTTTAAAAAAAAGAATGCTTGCACAGAAGGGTTGTTTTGGTTTGTGTCTAGTTGTCCCCTCAAAGCCTCTTGCAGTCATGGGGCAGCTTCTGGAGTTTGTGATTGATTCTTGATTCAGTGCTGGGATTGCAGGTGTGAGTGCCACAGCCTAGCCCTGGGGCATGTAATCTGCATTACAATGTAAGGATAAGAGACAGGCTTGCTAGCTGTGGGAGCTGCTGCTTCTCCCTCTTCTCTTTGCTCTTTGCCATTTCCATGAATGGTTGCTCTCTACCATGTGCCACTCTGCCTTGAAGCCAGCACAGTATGGACTGAAACCTTAACTAACTTCAAGCTAAATAAACCTTTCCTTCCTTAATTCTAGGTGTTGGATATTTGTCCCAGCAATAAGACAAGAGTAACTGAGTCAAGGGACAACCAGGAACAGGCTCCACCAGGGGACTGAGATATTCCTCCTTCCATAGTTGCACATTTTGGGAGGGTAGACATAACAGTGTTCCATTGTCTATTAACACAATCCAGGGTCAGGGAGATGGCTCAGTAAATAGGCACTTCCCTGGCAAGTGCAAAGGCCTGAGTTCAATCCCTGGTTCTGAGAAAACACACACACACACACACACACACACACACACACACACACATGCATACCTTCACTGCATGTTAATAACTGTACTGGGCCATCCCACTTTCCTGTTTGGATTTCCTTCTATAGGATTTGAGCTTAGGTGTATTCATCAGATTTGTCCTTTTTCTAAAATGCTCAGAGAGAGGGTATTTACTTTCTGCTACCAGGCTTTAAATTTTTAATGTAAAGATAGCAAGATCTAATCATGCATGTGGAGGCAATCCTAGCCTCCCTTTTTGTTCTTGTCATTGCATCACCAACCACAGTTGTCTTCTGCATTGACTTTTCCAAGTCCCAGCCCTACAATATTTCTAAATAACTTGGATATCTGTAACATTTCTCCCTGTGAAGAAGTATCCCTAACTGCAATGAGGGAAAAATGGGCATTGTTCTCATCTAGCTCCTTCAAGCTGAGAAGGTCAGGGTACTCGCAATGGCAGTCAAAGGCCTTCTTCAGAGAGCTAATCTAATAAGTCTAAGATGAATGGCATGTTATGGTTTAGCAGTTATAAACTATCTTTATAAGGTTGATTTGGTGGGTCCCAGTAAAAGGAGTCTAGCACATTTGTCATTGGTTCTATCTGCATTATCACTTGGAGTTCAGCAACCTCTAGGCAGGAAAAACAAATTTTCTGAAAAATTAGAGCATGTATAATCAATGTATATTTTACTGTAGTTTTTCTCAATGACCCATAACAGTACTCAGCTACTGACATAGCTAGAAACTGGTAGAAAGGATCAATATTTGGCACCCCTTTTTATATCTAGCTTATCGTTATGGTATTGTTTGTTTACATCCTTTAATTGTACTTTTCTGCTGGGTATTTAAGACCAAGTTAGTGAGACCTGTGTCAATTAAAATTAACGTCACTCAGAGCCAGCAAGATAGCTCAGCAGTCTAAAGTGGCCACTTAGGCAAGCTTAGGCAGGCACAGGGGACCATCATTCGATCCCTGGCACCGCGTGCCAGCACCACTCTCAGTGAAGACTGAGCCAGCAAAAAAAAAAAAAAAAAAAAAAAAAAAATTAACTTCACTATCTATCAAGGTCAATTAAGTCTCCTCAGGACTTACCTCAAAACCATGCAAAGAGCCTCTCAGCTCCTCTGTCAGTGTCAGCCATCAGAATGAGTCGCAGCTTTTGTTTGACCAATTGCTCTCTATGAAAGCATGGGAGACTTTCCTCTAATGGCCCTCCTTTGGCACACTGTTCACTGTATTTCCATCTCCTGGGGCCCTGCAGTCTCCTTGGTCAGGAGGTTGTGTGACTCAGCAGAGCTGCAGGATGTCACAGAAAAGATTCCCTCATGTCCTGGAGGGCCAGGGCCAAAATATTGGCGATCCTCTTTGCCCAGTGACCTTTCTAGATATGGAGCCTAAACTTCAGTTGTTGAACACCCAGGAGAAAAGATTGGTGACATTAGCATTGTAGTGGGAATAATAAGCATAATTATGATTTTATCTGAATATCAAGCAATCTGAAATATAAAATAGAGACAGAAATCTGTTATTTCTCAGCAACCATTGACAGTGTAGTTGAATTCCTATAGTGTAACAGACAACAGTTACATAGTTCACAGAGAAAAAACTGAGATCAAAAGCCATAGTATTTTAGCGTGATAATCATGCTATTATCTTTGAAACACATTTAAATATCCCTTTTGGGGTAGAAAGTCTTTTTAGTCAGACATCTCCATCTGACCACAAGACATTAAAAGACACAAAGAAACTCTCACCTAACTTGTTATCTTTCAACAAGACGCCACTAAAGAATTTGTGACATTGTCTTGACTGCCTAATGTATAAGCATCCCTAAGTATAGTGGCACATATGCAGCATACACATCACCTATCTGCACTTCTCTAAGCTTCATGAGCCCTGTGATACCTCAGTAATTCCATGGTCTTCGAACACATTTATTTTAATTGGGATTTTCTTGTTTTTCTTGGAGAAAACAGTGTAAAATAACATCTCCGTCTTTTGACATCAATAAATTTCTTCTCTTTCACAAAATCTTTCTTATTGATGCTTTTCTTTGCAACTTAATAACAACAGAAACGCCTTTCAAACCATAAACTTCTTATTTATGACTACTCTGTATGTGAAGTTATAAAATAATGATTTCTTATTTTTCTCTCATACTATATTCCAAAACAATTGTATTGGTTCTGTAATTGGCACATTCCTGCAAGTAGAAAGCTTGATTCTGAATGAATTCTGTTACCTTTGAATTTTATTTAATTCTCTGGCTTTGGAATAATGTCCTTAAGATGCAGACTTTCTACCAAGAAAAAATAGCCCAAGAAATTTTGTTTGTAAAAAGTCTTCTGGTGGCATTTGTTCATTGCATGGGGAGAAGTTGGCTGTAGGTCCTAGGAGTTAAAACTGATGGGTAGTTATTGAGCTCTCTACCCAAACAATACACAGTCTGAATTAGGTTCTGAGTTAAAATCATGGAATACACAGATGCAGAGAACTTGAAAATAGTAATTAGAAAAATCAATGGACATGGAGTCAGAGCATCTGGATTCTCAAGCTGACTCAATGGAAAAACTAAGTCACATGCCCACACCCAGAAGCCTGAGCAGGTAATGAGGTTATCAGATTGTCAAATCTTAATTTTATAATATTTATAACTTGAAATTTGTTCACAGAATAAAGCTTCATGATCTGTGTTTACCATGACCGTGGGCACAAAGCAACTCAATGAAAGCCTCAGAAGTTCATATCTCTACCCCATAACTGTAATCACAGTGAGCATACATGCTTCCCATCTACTGGTCTTACACTGAAGAGATGCTGTGGAGTGTACTCAATACCGATGTTGTCCATACACCGATGCTGGATACAAAAACACATGAGCTTTTGTTGATGTTCTCTAAGACTGCAGTAGAGCTTGGAAAGAGAGTAATCCTTATGTATACTACAACTGATCTAACTGTAACTAGTTGAAGTGTAGACTATGTCTATGTCCCTTCATCCTGAAAATACAGAGACAGGAATGCTCATGCAAAAAGAGCTCATTAATAAGTATGTATGTAAAAAAAAAAAATAAGTATGTATGTGCTGGCCAAAAGATCAGGGAGGACTTCTTGAGATACTTAGAATTTGAACCAATAACTATACATTTACCAAACTATACCTCTGCCACTTTCATCAACCACAGAAATATTTCAGCTTGTCAAAAAAAGATAAATAACATTGGAGGAAATGGAAGAAGTAGTAATCGATGGTGACATTTTTAATACAAGCATAAAAGGAGTTCAGGGAAAGATAATCAGTATGTATATAAACTGCATTCCTGTGCCACCCCAATTATTTAGCAGGGCCTACAAAATCTCTCTTAAAAAAGATTATAAAGCTGGAATATTGTAACCAATGAGAAATGTCTGTCATTTCCTTAAGCTAATAGATGTTTGCATAAGTTTTGCAAAATCAGTTGGAA